GTTTCTTCGGGAAGTGGAAGAGCAACTGGCCCATGTGACCAGAAGTAACCATAGACTCTTTCAGGCTGGATGCTAATAAGCCTTTGCCCCCTGCTGGCAAATAGGAGGTACTTCACAAGAACTGTGCTATATATTGGCTGTTATTTTCAAGGGACTTTGTTAACATTGGAGAAGCGACTAGCTTTTGATCACAGGGACTTCCAATATTAATGAGGAGAGTCTAATGAGTAGGTTTAAGTGGTGGGGCCTGTATGCAGACAACTAAGCGAAGCTGTAAGTGAAGGGTATGCCATGGACATATCCAAAATAAGTCTGATGGGCAAAAGGGCGGATAGACTCTCCACAAGTTAGCGATTCTCCTGGAATGCTCTTTATATAGTCAGATTTGATGGTTTGTTAACACAATTGATGAAGATGATTGAGCACTCTCAATGTTAAGAAAATCAATTTTTATATTGTTAAGCTAATACTTTTATGAGCAGTATATGACCTCCAACTTTTTAGTGGGTTTTCTCTCCTTTCTCCAATAGTTTGTAGATCCCCTCCCTAATTCGTTGTAGTTTTTAGAAAATGCAAATAAAAAAATCCCCTACGGGGGGGCCAAAAAAAATGTGTGAGCCCGAGACTAAAATACTGTGAGCTAGCTCACGCTAACTCAGCATGGAGGAAACACTGCATCCAGGTCAGGGGTATTGTGTTTTAGATAGGCAAGTAGATGCAGCAACAATGGATGGGGCAGAAGGCCTGGGTAGTCAGTGTTTAGTATTAGACAAAATGATTATGTCAGTCTACAATTTTAATAAATTGTAAAAGATATTGTCATTGTAAAGAGCTACGATTAGTCTTTTGGCGCCGTTTTCTCATTGATCCAGTCCAAGTATTTGGTCACTCTTGTATAAACACCAGGCTTCTTTGCCCGGCCACAGCCATCCCCCCAGCTGATAATGCCATAGAGGTAAGATATTCCGTCCTTTTCACAGGCCAGTGGACCTCCGGAATCTCCCTGCACCAAAGATAGAAAAATAAATCAGCCGAGTCGCACATTGGTTTCAGGACCATTTTCTGGAAGTATTCATCCTACTTTTAGTCATTGTTATCTCTTAGTTAATGAACAGTGTTACTTTCTACACACTCAGCAGTATGTGGTAGAGACACCCTTCTTTTATATGTGTGTCACCTTGAAGACCAACAAAGTTTTATTCCTGGTATAAGCTTTCGTGTGCACCTAGGCAGTCAATGGCAAAGTGCACATGAAAGCTCACACCAGGAATAAAACTTTGTTGGTCTTCAAGGTGCCCGACTGGACTCAAAGTTTGTTCTGCGGCTTCAGACCAACACGGCTGCCCACCTGGATCTATCTACTAAGAAACAAGGATGCCCAAGTTCCTTCTGTCCCTACATCAATAGTGCAGTCTTCATAGGATGATCAAAGTTATAGAGATTTATACATAAACTAGGGTTGCCAAATATCCTGCCCATTTAATCGAGACTTGCTCGATTAAAGTTGAAGCTTTTCATGACATGGAGGTAAATAACATCCCATTAAAACTCTATTAAAGGAGCAGGACATTTTTTCTCCAAGCAGCGGGCAACCGTAATAGATGCACATAACCCAATGGGTTTGCTAAGCCCGAAAAACCAACTGTTCAAATTCTCTTAAGATACTCTTCTTCTGGATGTCTTGTGAACCCAGACTTTGGCAGTGCATAGCATTCAGCCCACTGCTAGTGTTCAAAGCGGTGTGAATGATCCAAGGGCAAACTAGGCCCTTGTGAGCCCCTTTTCCCCGGGGCTCCTCCTCTCCAATCAGCTTTAAATTCTGCCCCTCAGCCCCTTTCACTGTCTATCTTCGCCAGCCAATCGAGTGAGTAGGTGGCAGCGTAGTAAGAAGTAGCCGTCAGCAATCAAGGCACACGTTACATTATGCAAAAACCTACAGAAAGTAATTTCCTCACAATATGGCACGAGAGCATTCCCAGTGCATAGATGTGATCAAGGAATGAGGCAGTATATCGCTGCAAGAAACGACTGCTCTGCATTTGATTTTTTTTTCCAAATGGAAAGTAGGGTTGGTTTTTACAACTTGGACTCATGCTTTGAAAATGCTGGTTTTTGACTTTCCTGCTAGTCTGCTGCTACATACAAGAAAGCTGTTACGAGCTCCCCAAACCAACAGGATCATTAAGTGGAGGCAGCATTTTCCCCTCAAACCACCCTCAAAGATGCTTGATGGTTCATAAATGGACTTTGCGTCAAGACCAAGCAAATTCATTAGTATAACCTTAACCAGAACCAGGATTTGATACAAGTTAAATGAAGTAGAAGAGGGTAAAATACACAGACTTAGTAGATTGCTGTTAACAGTTCTCAATTAATAGTAAAATATTTTACCATCACATTGCAGCTTCTTACAGACTTAATCATATGAATTAAGTAGAAATATAACATTACCTGGCAGGCATCTGATTTGCTATCGAGGTAACCAGCACAAAACATATTCTCACTTATTTCAGCTCCATTGCTCTGACTGAGGGCTGCTGGAAGCAGGGGGTGGGGCTTGTTGCATGTGCCCGCCCCCTGGGCTCTTTACTGCCGGAGCTCCGCTCCTGTGCGCTCCTGCAGGAAATGACCCCTGAGCATTTTCCCCTCAAACCACCCTCGAAGATGCTTGATGTTTCATAAATGGACTTTGCATCAAGACCAAGCAAATTCATTAGTATAACCTTAATCAGAACCAGGATTTGATACACGTTAAATGAAGTAGAAAAGGGTAAAATACATAGACTTAGTAGATTGCTGCTAACAGTTCTCAATTAATAGTAAAATATCTTACCATCACATTGCAGCTTCTTACAGACTTAATCTTATGAATTAAGTAGAAATATAACATTACCTGGCAGGCATCTGATTTGCTATCGAGGTAACCAGCACAAAACATATTCTCACTTATTTCAGCTCCATACACATCATAATGTTGACACTTGTAATCAGGGATGATAGGAATGGTTGCTTCTTGGAGTACTCTAGAATAGCTGGATGCATCTGGTGAAATGAATCACATAGAAAACACTTCATTCTAAAAGCATCTTGAAGAGTATGACCACTGTACTGTTGATAAGAAGTGGGGATTCAGCGTACAGAAATCCCATTGACTCAGTCAACATGCCTCAGAGTATTATCCCAATGCGATAATCATAGAATCATGCATTTGAAAGAGAACCACCAGGTCGTCATTTAATGTTCTATCCCAAAATGAGGATATCCCATCCTAAGGAATTCCCAATCTCCTTTTGAGAATATCTTCATAAAGGAAATATATGGTCTTTCTTAGCATGTCTTCCATTGTTAAAGTGCCCCAATTATTAGCAGTATAATGGAGGCCTAACAGGATGAAAAGATTTGCTAAGTTACTGGGAGTTAGCGCGAGAGTGTGTGCGGCCTCCCCCTGTGCTGACCCACTGTGTGCCATGGCAAGATCCAGAGGGCCGAGGCATGTTCTGGCCTTTGAAACCCCGGCCTGCCACACAACTGGTCAGCCGCACTGGGGTGGGGAGCCAGAGAGATCACGGCAGCAGAATCCCAGGCATGGCCATTGCCCACGAGGCGGTAGCCGCTCCCATGGCTGGGACTCAGGGCAGCCCCCTCCACCACTCCATACTCTGGGCAGCACTTAAGAGCCAAGTGCCAGAGAACACAACGTTTACTACACTTGCCTTTGTCTGTCCTGAAGCTGTTTGTCCCCCAGCTTCACTGGCGCCAAGTTCTTCGGAAGAGGGAGAAAAAGCTCGCTCTCTACTTTTGCCACAATATATATGGTTTTATAAACCTGTATCATGCCCCACTTTAGCCATATTTTCTCTGAACTGAACCTCCCCCAAAGTCTTTCCTCATAAAAGGTGCCCCATGCCATTAATCATTTGGTTGACCTTTCCTGCACCGTTTCCAGGTCTGTGGCATGATTTCAAAATGAGGTGGCCAGAACTGTACATAGTATTCTGAAATTAAGAACATTCTAAAAGCATCTTGAATTCTAAAAGCATCTTGAAGAGTGACCACTGTACTGTTGATAAGAAGTGGGGATTCAGATCAGTCCAGCAACCTGTTTCACACAGTGGCCAACCAGTCGCCCTGGAAGACAAACAAACAGGGCACAGGAGCCAAGGCCTCCCTGGATTTTCCTTCTGGCACGGACTATTCAGAGGTTTACTGCCTCTGCACGTGGAGGATCCCATTACTTATCCTCCATAAAGCTAATTTGCTCTAAAACCATGTATGCTCCTAAGCCATCACTGCGTTCCCTGGTAGCAAATTCCGCTATGTAATTACTCATCAAGTAAAGTATCTCCTTTTGTTTGTCCTGAATCTATTGCTCATCAACTTCATTGGATGTCCTCCAGGTCTAGTATCTGGGCAGAGGGAGAAGAAGTTCTCTCTGTCCGCTCTCTCTACCCCATGCAGAATTGTATAAACCTCCATCAATTCCCTCCTTAGTTGCTTCTCCTAAAATGAAAGTCCCCAGACTCCCCAGCCTTTCCTCACAGGAAAGGTGCGCCAGACTCTTAGTTCTCTTTGTCTGCCCTCCAAACGAATATAGAATAAATATTTTTCAGCACACAAAGGGCTAGTTTTGAAGGGGCTTCTATTTTTTTTGTTTCAAACATATGCTTATACTTTCCATAATAATAGTGTACTTTCCTCAAATAATTCTCCTTAATTTAGGAGTAACATGGAAGTTCCTGATTTTCATGGCTCTGTGGGCACCAGCCAAGGCAAAAAGATTTCGGGCTCTTGTTTATCTCCCACAAATCAAGTTTTGATTCAGAGAGCAGTCCAAACTGGTGAAGACAAGTTTTGATGGCAAAATCTTCTCAGCTGGGATTTTGCAATCCTTTTGGCAATCCAGTTTGGTGTGGTGGTTAAGTGTGCTGACTCTAATCTGGGAGAACCGGGTTTGATTCCCCACTCCTCCACTTGCACCTGCTGATGTGACCCTGGGTCAGTCACAAGCTCTGGCACAGCTGTCCTTGAAAAGGAGCCGTTTGTGTCAGAGCTCTCTCAGCCCCGCCCACCTCACAGGGTGTCTGTTGTGGGGAGGGGGAGGGAAAGGAGTTTGTAAGCCGCTCTGAGACTCCAAGTGAAGGGCGGGGTATAAATCCAATCTCTTATCTTCTTCCTCTTCTTCTTTAACGAACAGTGAAAAAAAATGCCAAGGGTTCTGTCCACAGTCTGCAAGCAAACTGTGATCCAAGCAGAGGAGTGGTCATATAATATGGGTATAGATTCAGGTGGGCAGCCATGTTGGTTCAGACAGAACAAAGTTTGAGTCCAGTGGCAGCTTTAAGACCAACAAAGTTTTATTAGAGGTATAAGCTTTTATTCCGGGGATACAGCATGCACTTGAAAATTTATACCCAGAATTAAATGTTGTTGATCTTAAAGGTGCCCCTGGACTCAAACTTTGTTCATCCAATATGGGCTCCAGCCAAAGTCTGCCTGGGCAACTGACAGCCAACAGCCCGGTGCAGGAGCTGCCTTTGACAAGAGAAAGAGGGCAGCTCCAGAAAACAAAGTCAAAGCAAGTGATCAAGGGAGTGGGAGCTGATTGCACACCTCTCCCCCCCCCCCAACAGAAACCCCACTGGAGAAGGGAGTGACCCTGCTGAGGAATCAACTGTGTGAAGATCACTTGTGATGCGCAGAGCTCAAAACATCACTTTCACTACCACACACAATGCCCGTTTGCCAAACTTACTTTCATGCAAGTGGCCCCATCCCGCAATTTGGCATTTACAGTTATCAGGAAAGGTCAGTCCATTTTCTGGCAAGCAGACTGGCTGCACAAATTGGGACTTTGCAGCACAGCGTCGGTTGACCTTCTTCAGCTTAACCAAAGCTGCCAAAGGAACACAAGCACGGAGAGGGGTGAGAGACGAAATGTTAATTATCCTCGATACTTTTCTTCATTGGGGTGCATCACCACATTGGGGATGTCAGGGCAACACTCTAGTATTTGGACAAAACCTCTATTGTAGAATTGGCTTTTACCATAGAGATTTTGCCCATATACCAGAGCGTCACCCCAGCATGATAGCATCACTTCCTGGTCACATGGGCAGTGACTTAGACACACAACTGCACATTGGCTGGATTGCCCTCTTTTGGGGGGTAAATTCCCCGCACCAGCCAGCTGATTGGTGGTGGGGCCTGGTAGTGAGGGGGACCCCTGCCTCCACTGGGGAGGGGTCTGGCAACTCTAATCCCTCTTTTCAGTCAAAGGGCACATTTGAATAGGGTTAGAAAAAACACTACTAGGAATGAGACCGTTCTGCTCTGAAATCTTTGGCAGACCGGGGAACGACCCTTTCCAGGCAGCCCAGACTCCATTCCGCACCTCACTCTGTACTCCGAGCCTTCCCGAGGCTATGCTGGCTTTTCCCTCCTCATCAGCTCCGAGGCCACCCATACGTCACGTGGCCCCTCCAGATGCCAGACGCTTTTGGCCAATGGAAGTGAGTGTGGCCCAGGCCGCACGGCACCTGCTTCTCGTGTGTTTTTAAATGGGATTGGATCCTGCTGGAAAGCAGAGCCCAGGGTTGGACTCCTCCCCAAAAACGCCCACCCCCAACCAGAAACACACAGGCTCTGCCACACGTTCCTGTCAGGGCTGTCTTCTGCCCCATCCCTCCTGACTTGGGTGACCTTCACCCCTCATGGTAGAGGTGGGGAGCCTCCTTTCACTGGGGTCCACCCCACGGGGCTGCTGCAGTCACCAGGCCCAGTCACACAGGTCTGTTCCAGGCAGCCAGCTATCTGGCCAGGATTGCCCTGAAGGGAGATGCTTTGGGGCAGCTGTTAGGAGTTGCTGCGAAATCACAGAGGAAGGCAAGAAAATCCAAAAAGGACGTGCAGCCACCGCTTGCCACAGGAGTAAGGAGAGCCATCCTCTGGCCACATAAACTCCGGCAAGAGCCACAAATGTGACGGCAGATGTCACTGTAAGCAAATAACTGCCATTAATGCTCCATCACAAATGTAGCAGAGGACGTGTTCTCGACAAATTTAGTAGTTCTCTCTGCAGAGTGGTGTATGTTTTATTTCTAATTGTACTGTAAAAGGATACAACATATTCTTGACTAAATGACTGACCGCTGCTTGCCTGAAATAAAGCCATAAAGAAGAAAAGGGCTCACCAATATCGTTTTCAGTTGGGTTGTAAACCGTGTAGTCAGGAAACATGATGTACTTCTCTACTTCAAATTCTTGCGTAATGTCTGTTGTTTTATTGAAAAAATGCTGCCCCAAAACAACCCGGATTGTTGACTTCGGTGGGCTGAAGAAAAGGCAAACAGGGTCCAATGTTGCAGTCACGGGATGTCTTCAAGCACAGCTCTCCTGGCCAAGCAACAGTCTGCTGGGACTAAACTAAGTGGCTCCACCTGGACATCGACTTCCTGAGTCTATCATCCACACGAGGGGAGTGCTATCAACAGCCCGACCCATTAAGACACTGTCTCCAACAACACCAACACTGAAAATTCCCCATTGTCTTAGTAAGGTGAGGAAACAAAGTTCCAGCACGGGATGACCACAAATCCCTGTTTGGTGGGATCTGATGGTGAAGGGAGCCATACGAAGCCCTGCCTCCGAATAGTTTAGAAAGAAGACAAAGCCTTGCACCGGAGTGATACTGCAGATATGCAGCCCTGGGGAAGTACAAGTCCAGCCCCACTACAGACATGGGGGCGGGGGGAACTGGGCTTGCTCAGTATCCTAAGATGCTCCGGCCTGTATCCCACGGCATCTCTAACTTGACACTGGTGATAACCCTGGCATAACTAGACACTCCCATGGAATTCATGAACAGCAAAAATACAACCATACCCGCCCCCCCAGCCTCCTGCCTGCCATGCCCCCAAGCCTCAACTTAAGATACCAACTAAGTGTGCAGCCAATCACAGGCCTCCTAAACGTTATATAAACTCCACCCAGGACACCCTTAGCTCAGATAAAAGAGCATGTGGAATGGAACTCTTATCACTTTGGCCACAGGCCAGGCACACTCAGAATACACACTTTGGAGATGGGAACTCTAAAGAAAGACACTTCACACAGCAAAGGAAACACTTTGCTCAGGTTGTCAAGTGCCTGAAGAAAACTGCCCTTTCCCTTTAAGAGATGCTTAATGGGATGTCTGCAGTAGCACACACACCCCTTGCCCTATTTGTCCACAGGGACCACGGGGCGTAAGTGTCATGAGTGCAAATTTCCTCACTCCTCCGGGAATCTTGGAAGAAGCATGCCCGGGCCCTCTGAGGGTTCCCGTGTGTCAGCCAAGCAAGGGTGTATGTGGAGGTCCATTGGTGTGCATTTCCACAGGGCACAGAACATCAGAAAAGTGAACCAGGTGTTCAGTAAGGTTATCTGAAATGATATATTTTCAATAGAGAATTAACCTAGCTTGACTCTCTAATGTGATATTAAAATGTATCACATTAGAAAGTCTGCATAGGTCAGCTCTCAAATGTGATATTTCAAGTATTAACATTATCAATGTTAATATATCATATTATATTAAATATGTATCCTATTGGGATCTTGGCCCTTATCAATATGGTTCCAAACAGCTCAAAGCATATTTTTATCTGGCACTGTTTACAAATTTCAGGCTGAAAACTGTCTCTTAAATATTACAGTACATGTTCACAAGGATTAGTAACTAGCGGGACCCTTCTGATTGTTAAATAACCCCATTCAGCATTTACAGTGATGCTAACACTACTTCCGAAGCAGGAAGCATCATGCGCAGTCTGCACGTAATGGGGGGACGGGTGATGTGGCTATAGGAGAGGGCGTTCAAGCTGACCACTTTTTTTAAAAAAGGGTGTTTCTGGAGAAGGGTCATGAACATTATAGGGAGAAGGCCCAGTTCCCGAACACAAAGCCAGTCCTTCCCAAAAGGCACCAGGACTGGGGCACCATTCAAAGGCAACAAATGCCTTGTCATCAAGGTGGGGCAACATTTGGAGTTCTAAGCAGGCAGCGTGTGGCCCTGAGGGTCTGCAGTCCTGCAAGGCAAGTTAGGAGGAAGGAGGAAGATCGGGATGGGAGGCTGAAGAGATGGGCTGTCGTCTCGGACAAGCGGGATGTAAGAAACAGGCCCGTCTCGTCCCAGAAAATTCAGTGGCAGCTCTTTGGGCGGAGTAGCAGCACGGAGCCTTGTGAACAAAAGTGCTCAGGAACTCCTTTGGGTCCACCTGTCCATTACAAAGACCGCGTGTGTGTTGGACTTTGCACGGCACGTGCAGGTGGGTGAGGGCTGTGCCTCCCAGACAAACACCAGCCCTTCCCTGCTTGCAGCCACAGCACATGCAGGAGGAAGCGGCTCTGCCCTCCCCCCATGCCCCTCTCACTCTCATGCCCTCAAAACCCCGCCTGGAGCCACATTGGGTTCTCTTGCAAAAACTCACGCCAATTCCGGCTTACAAACTCCTTTCCCTTCCCCTCCCCACAACAGACACCCTGTGAGGTGGGTGGGGCTGAGAGAACTCTGACACAAACTGCTCTTTTTCAAGGACAGCTGTGCTAGAGCTTGTGACTGACCCAAGGTCACATCAGCAGGTGCAAGTGGAGGAGTGGGGAATCAAACCCGGTTCTCCCAGATTAGAGTCCGCACACTTAACCACTACACCAAACTGGCTCTGCATGGAGTGGAGGGGGGAGGCTAAAGCCATGCTGCGGTTGCAAACAGAAAAGAGCCTGTGGGTACTTCTAAGAGGCATAAAATTCCCATTGTATGTGCAATACCAAGTTGTCATGTGTTCCACAACAAACCTGCCTTTACTGCACTCAATAAACTTTACTCTTCTGAATGAAAATTGTTGGGAACTGATTGCTGTGGGGATTTGACAAGTAGTCATCTTCAAGTTCCGTGCACCTTGGTGTTTAGTCATGCCGGCCACATGACCACGGAAACGTCTTCAGACAGCGCTGGCTCTTCGGCTTTGAAACGGAGATGAGCACCGCAACCCTAGAGTCGGATTCGACTGGCTTTCGAGCAAGGGAACCTTTACCTTTACCTTTTACATCTTCAAGTTAAACAAAAGAACTTGGCCATGACAGGATTAATTGGGCTGGCTAACACACCCATCGCCCATCAAGATAATGCAGCTGCAGACCATCAGATTGTTGATGCTAACAACTGGCCAAGCACCTTGAATGACTGCCTGTTCTTCTCCTTTGTCTTAAACCCAAACTCTGAAAGGTGTCACTTAAAGAAAACATCGTCAATTGCCCAACCTCTTATTCTTTTAGCCCATTAAGACGCTAGCAGCGTCTAGCATGTTCCTGGGGTCTATGTGCTTGGTGGCTCATCCCCCAAGACCCTCTAAGGGTATAAAAGAGAGCATCTGCCCATGCTCTCTCTCTCTCTTCTCCTACCTAACCCTGCCCTACCTAATTGACTTCAATCTTAGCGCTACCTGAAGCCTCCCTCATGTGTGCTGCTGGCCATCACACAGTTCCCTTTCCCTAGTATTTTCCCCTATGTTTCGCTGAAGGATCGCCTCATCGCGTCGGATGTTAAAGTATCACCCAACCAACGATCCATCCTTCTCATGCAACTATTTACTCTGTCTAAATTTCTATAGCACTGTATTGATTGAATGAGTGATTGATTAATTGTATGTGTGTGCAAATTCACAATATTTCTGGAAATCTGGTCTAAGTGGGACTCCTGTATACATAGGTTATTGCTCCCTTATAGGCCTATTGCCATTTAATAACTATAATTTCCCAAGCTATAATTAAGAAATAAGGCAACTTGGCTAACAATCCACGACATACGATGACATAGCAAACACCTTTAGACTGGCTGGTTTGGCAAGTAAACTTGAGGCTGGCTTGCAAGGACTAGAGACATATCACCAAGATTAGTATTTATTTATTTATTTTATTTATTTATGCCCTGCCCTATCCCACAAGTGGGCTCGTGGTTCCTGTGATGACGCTGTGAAGCAACCCCATCCGTTCCAGTGGCCCAGCTGCAGCACAGAGCGGCAGCTCAGGACACGGCGGTGACTAAGCTCTTGCTGTGAAACCAAGACTACAGGTGGGGAGCTGGGGGTTCCAGGCATGACTTAGCCTGGTGACCTTTCAACCACCAGACAGCCTGCTGTGGCAGTGCGGCTACGAACACACATGGCATGGTGGCAGCTGGTCATTCCAAAAGGGTAGCTGACAGGCATCAAAGCAGGGCAGAGGCACCCCAGATACCACTGTAGATACCCAGGACAGGCTGAGTGGGCTTGGATCAGGGAGACCTGGCTTCCAGACCACCCTTTGCTATGAAGCCTACTGGGTGAGTTTGGGCCAGCTGCACTCTCTCAGCTTTCTCCATCTCACAAGGTTGTTTGGAAAATAAAGTGGGGAGAATCTGGTTTGCATTGCCTGAGAGAAACGGCAGAATACAAATGCAGCCGAGCAGTGGGTGCAGCTCACACAGCACAGAGCGACGTAGGGACCGGCCATCGCTCAACATTTGGCCCATAATTGTTTTGCACAACCTTCGCTTCTATCCTGCAGACACTGATGTACCAGCAAGACCAGCAAGAGTGCAGCATAGACTGTACCAGACCATCAGGCACTGACGCTGTCAACGATAGCCAGTCTCATCCCTCCTCCACCACCATGTCCCCGCCCCTACCCTCTCAGGTCTGCCACAGATGCACAAATTACATTACTCTTTCAGTGCTGGTTGATCTAAACTTAGGAAAAGAACAAAGTTTGAGTCCAGCAGCACCTTTAAGACCAACAAAGTTTAATTCTTGGTATGAGCTCTGCAGGCACACGGAAGCTTATACCCAGAATTAAACTTCATTGGTCTTAAAGGTGCCATCAGACTCAAACTTTGTTCTGTTGCTTCAGACCAACACGGCAATTCCACCTGGATCTAAACTTAGGAATGTCCCAAGAAGCCCATTTTAATGCCATGCAATTTCTATCCTAATATTTATTTGTACAATGAAATGTGTGGGATGGAGCCCCCCCCCATGGCCGTGTTCAAGGCTGGTGACGGCCCCAGCAGAGCCTTCTGTACATGCTCATCTCCATTAATCCTTGACACACACACACACACACACACTGCGACCTGAGCCAAGGCTCTCAGAACACTGGGGAACCCCCTCCCCCATTCAAATGAAGCTCAACCTCCTCTCCCAGGGCGCGGGGAACAATTGCTTGGTCCAAAGGCACACGCAGTGGGTTTTGCACAAGGCTTACATGCTGGCTTTACCTGTTAGCGAAGCAGTGTGCGGACGTCACGACCCAACAAGCACGGATGAGGCTGCCAGCGCAGAAATTGTTTTCCATGTAGATGGCAGCCAGCCAAGGGTGTGATCCGGGCAATGCAACAGACCCTCCAAGAATCCTTGGCCAAACAAAACTCCGCTTCTTATGTCTTCTCCCACACGATCTTCTGACGACAGCAAACTCTTCGGAGATTTCTGGGTTGGGAATTACTCTTCTCCTGCTCGCTAAGTGAAGAACAGATCTATTGCATCTTCTGAACCTGGGTCTCCCCCCCCCCCGGACCTCTCCTTTAGTAAGTAACAAATTTAATTGCAGGACCAAAATCTCCATTCTGAATGTGGCATCTTTAATTTGGCACAGGATACACCAGGCGGAAATAACACTGCCCAGATTTTGCATGATGGGAATGGCCTGGCGGCTGCTCCATCACAACACATGCTGCTCAAGTCAGATGGCAAAAGCCACAAACCATCTGGGAGGGCTGGAATTTCATTCAGGTGGGGAGAACCAGAGTGGCTCAAGTGCCCGACTAGGATCTGGGAGATCCAGGCCTGAATCCCCATTCCTGCCACGGGAACCTGCTGGGTGACCTTGGGCCAGTCACGCACTCTCTCAGCCTAACCTACCTCACAAGGTGGCAGTTGTGAGCATGAAAAGGAGGCGAGGAGAATGACGTAAGCGGTTCGGTTCATCAGTGGGAAGGAAGGAAGAGCAGGGCTACAAAGGACGTCAGTGGACCGACAAACTGTGTCACGGCCTCTGATGCGCACATTGTCCCTTCCACAGGTCCCTTCCCACCCCCCCACTCCCGCAGTCTCAACATTCTTGCATTACTGGCGCTGTCATTTTAATGCCATGCAATTTCTATCCTACTATTTATTTGTACAATGAAAGGTGTGGGATGGAGCCCTCCCCCCTCCATCATGGCCATGTTCAAGGCTGGTGATGGCCCCAGCAGAGCCTTCTGTGCATGCTCATCTCCATTAATCCTTGACACACACACACACACACACACTGCGACCTGAGCCAAGGCTCTCAGAACACTGGGGAACCCCCTCCCCCATTCAAATGAAGCTCAACCTCCTCTCCCAGGGCGCGGGGAACAATTGCTTGGTCCAAAGGCACACGCAGCTTACATGCTGGCTTTACCTGTTAGCGAAGCAGTGTGCGGACGTCACGACCCAACAAGCACGGATGAGGCTGCCAGCGCAGAAACCCCGCCCCCCCCGGACCTCTCCTTTAGTAAATAACAAATTTAATTGCAGGACCAAAATCTCCATTCTGAATGTGGCATCTTTAATTTGGCACAGGATACACCAGGCGGAAATAACACTGCCCAGATTTTGCATGATGGGAATGGCCTGGCGGCTGCTCCATCACAACACATGCTGCTCAAGTCAGATGGCAAAAGCCACAAACCATCTGGGAGGGCTGGAATTTCATTCAGGTGGGGAGAACCAGAGTGGCTCAAGTGCCCGACTAGGATTTGGGAGATCCAGGCCTGAATCCCCATTCCTGCCACGGGAACCTGCTGGGTGACCTTGGGCCAGTCACGCACTCTCTCAGCCTAACCTACCTCACAAGGTGGCAGTTGTGAGCATGAAAAGGAGGCGAGGAGAATGACGTAAGCGGTTCGGTTCATCAGTGGGAAGGAAGGAAGAGCAGGGCTACAAAGGAAGTCAGTGGACCGACAAACTGTGCCACGGCCTCTGATGCACACACTGTCCCTCCCACAGGTCCCTTCCCCCCACTCCCGCGGTCTCAACATTCTTGCATTACTGGCGCTGTGCAGGATTGCATCCCATTGTCCGTGCATATTGACCACACCTCAGATTCAAGCAGCGCAAAGAGTTTGTCCAGATCCAAAGGAGCTGTGAAGCCAGCCCCAGAGAACGCCCCCCCAGCCTCTCAGCTGCCTCCTCTTCTTTCCCAAACACCTTCTCCCCCCCCACCCCGGTCTCCTGCCACTTGGAGAGGCTGATCAAATGATCATGAGACAATCCTGCCTGAGCAGCTGAGCAGCTGATATATCGTTAAGAGCTCATCTTTAGAGAAGTCATTCACAGCAGGAGAGGTGAGTCTAGAACAGGGGTGTCGAACTCATTTGTTATGAGGGCCGGATCTGACACAAATGAGACCTTGTCGGGCCGGGCCATGCGTGTCATAAAATGTAATGCCAGGTAGCGGAGAGATAAACTTTATAAAGGACACAAACACAAACACAAAGGTGGTGTGTTTTTTTAACTTAAAATAAAAACATGCTTAAAACATTAGCACTCTTGCAATGTTTTGTTTATTTAACAGTGTCTGATAACTGAATTGCTCTGAATTATTGCATCAAAATGTCTGTGCTGTTGCAATCTTGAGTATGCTGTTCAGGTGTGTACCTGTAAGATGCAAACCTACGATGACGCAGCAGCAGCAGAACTGAAAGAAGAAGCAGAAGACAGCCAGTTCCACTGCGGGCCTGATGGAAGCCCTCCAGGGGCCTGATCTGGCCCCCGGGCTGCATGTTTGAAACCCCTGGTCTAGAGAGAAGAGCAGGAAACTCCTGGTTGGATCCATCAAGCCATTGTGCCAGCAGAACTCTCTCCAGGTGGTACAAAAAGCCAGATTAGGAGAAGGGGCTGCTAGTCCCAGGCATTTGCTGAGTCCATTTCCTCTCTAAGGGCCAAAATTGGCATTACAGCTTCCCTGGGTCCAAGCCATGGATACTGGTGCCATTTATGAGAAGAATCTGGACATTTAAAAAGTCTTCTGAGGGCCTGATCCTGACTGAATCTCCAGCACCGTGGAACCAGGCAACCACCCCATGTGTGCCTTTCCAAACCCTGAAGAGAAGGGGGGACAAGATCGCCTGGCCTCGCTGCACCACAGGCCCAATCAGGATCGAGCCCCTGCGGAATTTTAAAATCTCTAAAAGGGCATCAGCATCCGCGGGTTGGACCTGCGGGTGCCGTAGTGCCTGGCCTGGCCCCGGTCATTCCAGCAAGAGACACTTAATCCACTCGGCCTTTGCTCCTTAAGTGGACCTTTACTCTGTTTACGTGAAAATGTACTCAGACTGCCACGAGACTGTAGCATCCACAGTTCAAGCGGAACCCCCTGAGTGAAAAGTTACCTACCACAAAACGTGACGTTGCAGTAACCCCAAGACATGGTGTCACCCTGTATGACGTAGCACCAAGGCTTCACATCCTCATCCGGATTCCTAAGGCATTTGAAAGAGGGGAGAATCATGGCCTCGCAATGTCTGAATTTTGTTTCTTCTCCTCCACCCCTTTTTTGCTTGTCACAAGTCAAAATCCCAAGTGCTTTCCAAGCTGCTACTGAAACCAGCCAAATGTCTGCCTAGAAAGTGCTCTTGTATAAACACAGACTATTTACTGAGATCACTAATCGCAGACAAATAATACCCAAAATTACTGAAGTGGATTTCTCATGGCTACTCCTGTGCCAAAGCTGAGACAGAGAGGTCTGTGGCAGAGAGACAGATGCCTGGCTACGGAGGGAAGCAGGAACCATTTGATCAGCAGAGTTTGTCAGGTGGGACATGGGGAGGGGGGGTTGGGAGGCAAGCAAACATTGTGAGACAATAGAACAAAGTCTGAGTCCAGACTGGGCACCTTTAAGACCAACAAAGTTTACTTCTGGGTATAAGACCCTGATGCTGGGAAAGACTGAAGGGAACAGAAGAAGGGGACAGCAAAGGATGAGACGGTTAGACAGCATTACTGATGCAATGAACATGAAATTCAGCAAACTCCAGAGGATGGTGGAAGACAGGAGGGCCTGGCGTGATGTGGTCCATGGGGTCACGAAGAGTCAGACTCAGCTGTGCAACTGAACAACAACAACAACAACAAGCTTTCATGTGCATGCTGTATACCCAGAATAAAAGCTGATACCCAGAATTACACTTTGTTGGTCTTCAAGGTGCCCAGTCTGGACTCAAACTTTGTCCTACTGCTTCAGACCAACACGGCTACCCACCTGGATCTATTTGCAAAAGGGGTTAGTCTAAAAATTGCAAGTGGGCTTTTCTTAATATTATTTTCTATAAAGATGCACATGGCCACACTTGAATAACAGTAATTTTTATTGTATTCAATTGATTTGTTTATAGCTTTTTGCCAGCTGGCCCGAAAGACTACGTGGCTAAGGAGCACGGTGGAAACAGATGAACACACAATCAACCTGAAGGAGTGAGCAGTGACTCACGAAAGTGCATACACCCTACCACAATTTTTGCTAATCTTTAAGGTGCTCCTGGATTCTTTCTCTTTTCTACAACCAACCTGTCCTGACTTCTGGCTCGCATACATCCCAACCACAATTACCAGTCTACTACCCCTTACAGGGACACAGGATCGGTCCCCATGTGACAGATGTGAGTTGCTGCTGCTCCTTAGTTCCCGATTGCAGCTGTGGTACCCATGGAGAAGGGGCTTCAGTGTCCCCAACACACCTTTTCCAGACCTGGGATGCCTCTGGAGTGGGGGGGCGCTGTTTGGCCCTCTGGGGAGACCCACATGTGTGCACTTGGGTAGGGCTGGGGGCCCCAGAGGGGATCTTTGCCTGGGAGAGGCTGCAGAGGCTCTTGGAGAGCCAGGCCCTTACCTGCAGTACGAGTGTGGCCCCAATCCCAGTTGCACGTGGTTTTCAACAGTGTCTGAGTGAAGCTCTTCATAAAGCAAGTCTGAATTCCATGGCAGACAATGGTGTCCAGAAGTGGTCTTCTTCATCACACCCTTGTAGTTAGTTGCATTCCCACGATAGCACCGTTGGTTAGGATCTGGATCAAAGGCAGATAAAAGAGAACTCAGAGAAGCTGGCTGCTAATCTCATGACTGAGGCACTGCTGGGTTGAGGGGCGAGCCCCAGCCCCCTGCATGCCTCCTTCAGAGACTCCTCTGGAGAACTCAGAGGCAGGGGGGGCGCTGCTGTCATGCTATGCAGACTTAGCAAATCCCAAGAATATCACAGGTTTACTTCTCTGTCCTGCTCTCAAGACCTCTCTTTTCTCTTGCGGAGATTCTTGACTCCATTCACTGTTTCCTCCTTCAGAGACTCCTCTGGAGAACTCAGAGTGTGTGTGTGGGGGGGGGGCACTGCTCTCATGCTATATGCACACTTAGCAAATCCCGAGAATATCACAGGTTTATTTCTCTGTCCTGCTCTCAAAACCTCTCTTTTCTCTTGCAGAGATTCTTGACTCCATTCACTGTTTCCGCCCACTTTTTAACAACGTACATATCCCATTTTTTTTAAATGTAGCTCTGTTGCCCTTCTGCTGTTTTAATGTAGCTCTGTTTCCAACTGCATAATCTTTCTTTCAAACACAATAATGATTTCAGGAGAATGACATCCTAGCAAACACAGGAAAACGTTTGCAGTAACAAGTAACGCTTGCTGCTGGGTTGCCTTCTCTGGGTGGGACCCCTCTGCCCACCTGGATTGTTGGCTGTTCATCTCGAAGCGGATCCCAGCCTCGTTTGTGAATGGCTCCAGGGACTGGCTCCGGTTATCCAGGCAGGGCTCAGCTAGTTCACTGTGCAGTATAGTTGTGATGATGATGACCCCGTTGTTAATATGATGCGGATTTATGGGTAACCGGAGCCAGTCCCTGGAGCCATTCACAAACGAGGCTGGGATCCGCTTCGAGACGAACAGCTAATAACCCAGGTGAGTTGCCGTGTTGGTCTGAAGTTTGAGTCCAGTGGCACCTTTAAGACCAGCAAAGTTTAATTCAGAGTATAAGCTGGGTATACAGCATGCACAGAAAAAATTACAATCAGAATTAAACTCTGTTGGTCTTAAAGTTGCCCTAGAGCTAATAATCCACGAGTGGATAAAGAGACCCAAACGTTTGGCTTTTTCAGGCTGAGTGGGAAATGTGCTGCGGTTACAGGGTCAGACCAGAACCGGGGAGACCCAGCCTGGAATCACCACCACCACCGCCCCTGCCGCCACCATGGAAGCCGGCTGGGTGACCCCCTGGGCCGGGCCCACACTTTCAGCCCAGCCTACCTCACAGGGTGGTGGTTCTGAGAATGGAATGGGAGGAGGACATTGTAATGTGCTTTGGGTCCCTACTGGGGATTAAAAGGAGGAGTAAATATCAAGCCGTTGAGAGAGGCAGCAGTCGGCTGTAATGGCTTCAGCAGAGGCCACTCATTGCCCCGGACAGCTGGACAGGCTGGGCTGCCTGCCTCCGTCCCCCGGAGAGACAGAGGAAAGGGGGTGTGTGTGCAGAGAGAAGCCAAGCAATATATTCCCCCCCCCGCCGGCGGCCAGGGAAATAGGGGTGATCTTGGACCCCAACTGTTTAAACTGGCCTCCATCCCTTACACAACCAGGAACTGTTCCTCAGGTTCCGAAACAAAGTTGTTTTATCTTTTCATGAAAGAGCAGAGAGGCAGTCTCAACTACAAGAAGAATGGAGATCCAGTTCAGGCTTAACCTGACTTTCGGTGTGTGGAATGAAATCGCATCTACTCACCAATGTTGCAGTCTCTTCCCACAAAGGGTTTCTGACACTCGCAGACTGTCTCGCCCGTGGAGGTGATCTTCCTGCAGAGACGGCTGTGGAGGCAAGGGTTGGTGGTGCAGCCTGCACGGACAAATGCAAAAGCCACAAGCGCTTTCGTGAGCAACGTTCTGCACGGCGCTGGAGCCCACGTGCGCTGGACCTGCTTCCAGCCCTACAGAACCCGCTGACTTGGTCTCGCTGCCCATTGGGAAGCCTCCGCCCACGCCCTCTTCCTCCTGCTGAGGCCCACTCCCCAGGATCAGCACCCTGAATGAAGTATGGGGAACCCGGACTGGAAACAAGGCCGTGTTTTTGCAGCAGACAAGACGGTCTCCCTTGAAGCCAAGCTGCACCAGGGGACACCCCCACCTCCTTTCTTCCAAAGGTCACCACTCCAGAACAAAATTCTGACCCTAACCCTCACCCCCAGAGGCAGAAGCAGGCAGCGGGCTCAGTTTCTCACCCTGGTCAACCAGCCAGAATTGCACACAGAGACCCTGACTGCTTCCACACAGCTGTTTTTCTCTGCCTCAGTCAGCTCCCAAACTCGAGCAGTCTTCTGGGGGTCAGCCACATGATGTCGTTGCTCTCCCTGCATTTTCGACCTTTTAAACTTCTCAACAGAACACACGAAACTGCCTCACCGTGAAGCAGACCTAGAGGTCCATCAGAGGCAGCACTGTCAGGGTCTAAGGCAGAAATCTTTCACATCTCCTATTGCCTGCTCCTTATATAACTAAAAATTATTGTATTGTGTGTACAATATCCAGGAGATCCTAAGATTGTCTGACAGTCAGAAGTTCTAGCTCTTTTTTTAGAGTTATGCACCACTAGGTGGTGAGGTAGACATAGTTTTTTAAAGCAAGTTACATTTCAGAGAGGTGGTTTGCCACTGCCTGCCTCTGGGTCACAGCACTGGCATTCCCTGGAGGTCGCCCTTCCAAACACCAGCCAAAGCTGACCCTGCTTAGCTTCCAAGATCTGATGGGATTGGGCTAGCCTGGGCGGTCCAGGTCCTTTTTAACCGGAGATGCTGCCAGGGTTTGAACCTGAGGCCTTCTGCATGCCAAGCAGGGGCTCTTCCACTGAGCCACAGCCCCTCTCCTTTGCTGCAGTCTTTCCCCAAACCTGCTTTACTACAATTTTTGCAAAAAAACAAAACAAAACCCAAAACCCTGCAGTCAAAGAAGGCCTTGCACTCAGCGCAGATGGAAAGATGCAGATTTTCCGAGCCTCCCACCCACACTGGAACCATTTTACAGCCCCCAGTCTCTTGCCATTCCCATGCCTGGTGCCACTGGAGGATTTTTTTGTCAGCATAATAAAAGTTAGTTGCTATAGCGCCTTAGCCTTATAACCCTATAGCAGTGTTGCAACTATCCATTTTTAAAAGCCAGCAAAAAGCTTTCCAGGGATTTGGGGTGGGGAGACCACAAGGGGACAAATGAGGAAAGTGAGGCAGAAAGTCTTCTCTGGAGGCATTTTAAGAAGAGCTCTGTAAACTCTTGGAGGATTGGCTACATTAGGGGTGTGTCACCTAATATGCAAATGAGTTCCTGCTACAAAAAGAGCCCTAGAGACACGTCTCCATGTGGGAAGCCGCCCCTCTTCCAAAGAGGGCCATCACGGCCTTCCAGGCGGCGGAAGGGCTGAGTCCTCCCTTGCCTTCAGAAGAGCAGCCGTGGCCGCTTTCTCCAGAAGCCGCGTCCTGCCTTTGGGCCTGGCTGCTGTCCTGCACACACTGGGGGCTGGATTTGGTAGTCTCCCTTCTGTGAGCATCCACCAGAGAACAATTTTCACTGCAGGAACGGGATGGGGGGGAGGGAATATGAAACAAAACCGTACTAAGAACAGGGAGTCGCCATCTTTGGAGGG